ATTTGAGAGGTAATCACTATTTAACTACAAAATAGTGATTAAAAAAGTGATTAAGAGTTTTCTACAACAATTTAAGTCGCTATCAACCGGTTAACTTGCTATCAGACGGATAAAATTTAAACGCTCAAGAAATCGCGTTGTACGAAGCACGTTTAGCGCTATCCACCGATTAAATTTTGCCTATCCACCTCTATAGTCAAACGCGGTACTAAACGGGCTTCGCACAACGCAATTTTAGCGGCCGTTTTTAACTATCCGCTAGATAAGAAATGTATACGCTGGTTAGCGGCTAAACGCCTTTCGTATAACCGGCCCCAGGAGTGTAAACTAATATGATCAAATAAATATCAATTGATCAAATATGGTCACAATTCCGCTATAGCATGCATATTCGTTGCTAGCGTGTCTTATATATTAACCAGTTCAGCCTTTAAAACGACTGTCTATATATACTTAAAATACTCATTAATAATTCATAAACCTTGTAGCAAATCATGTCAGCCATAATATGTCACGTGGAGTGACTTTATATCTGATAAAGCATGCGGCATTATATAATTAATTGTTCATCCTAATTAGTATGATTATCAGAGGAGGAATGATGGTCTTCCCGCAATACACCGCGCGAATCAGTGCGGCTCATTACTATCATAGCTATTTATTCTCAACACGCCGTTCGATTAAAAACTGTTGAAATATATTGCGATTTTTGCTGTGAAGATATCATCTCAAAGGTATGTTTCGATAACCTTTTTGTTTAGTAATTTAATAAAAGAAGTTTTGAATAACTTTGTATATATATCGCATTTTACTTATGTTAAATTCCATTGTATTTATATGCATGTTTTCGGTGTTGAAATATTCTGGAGTAAATTGTACCTCTTTACAACGAAACTAAAATAAAATTACATCAGTGAATTTACTCTATTGATACGTTAAAACATGAAATTACTCCATAAAACCGAAGAGTTATCGCGGTTTGAAAATGAGCTATTTTTGCTAATTATCGAAAATAGCAAAAATAGCTCATTTTCAAACCGCGATAACTCTTCGGTTTTATGGAGTAAATTCATGTTTTAAAGTACCAATATAAAGAATAAACATTCCTGAATTCACTGATGTAATTTTATTTTAGTTTTCTTGTAAAAAAGTACAATTTACTCCAGAATATTCAATGCCACTTTTTCAACACCCAAAACTTGCATAAATACAATGGGAATTTAACATAAGTAAAATACGATATATATACAAAGTTATTCAAAACTTCTTTTATTAAATTACTAAACAAAAAGGTTATCGAAACATACCTTTGAGATGATATCTTCACAGCAAAAATCGCAATATATTTTAACAGTTTTTAATCGAACGGCGTGTTGAGAATAAATAGCTTGAATAGTAATGAGCCGCACTGATTCGCGCGGTGCATTGCGGGAAGACCATCATTCCTCCTCTGATAATCATACTAATTAGGATGAACAATTAATTATATAATGCCGCATGCTGTATCAGATATAAAGACACTCCACGTGACATATTATGGCTGACATGATTTGCCACAAGGTTTATGAATTATTAATGAGTATTTTAAGTATATATAGACAGTCGTTTTAAAGGCTGAACTGGTTAATATATAAGACACGCTAGCAACGAATATGCATGCTATAGCGGAATTGTGACCATATTTGATCAATTGATATTTATTTGATCATATTAGTTTACACTCCTGGGGCCGGTTATACGAAAGGCGTTTAGTCGCTAACCAGCGTATACATTTCTTATCTAGCGGATAGTTAAAAACGGCCGCTAATAAAAATTGCGTTGTACGAAGCCCGTTTAGTACCGCGTTTGACTATAGAAGTGGATAGGCAAAATTTAATCGGTAGATAGAGCTAAACGTGCTTCGTACAACGCGATTTCTCGAGCGTTTAAATTTTATCCGTCGGATAGCAAGTTAATCGGTGGATAGCGACTTAAACGCCTTTCGTATATTCTTTTTGTATAAAACTCTTAATCACTTTTTTAATCACTATTTTGTAGTTAAATAGTGATTAACCTTAACTCTCAAATACGCGCTTCTTATTGGATGACGTTTCCACTTAACTTTAGACCCATTGCACTCGACGTCACAAATCGTTAGAGTGTCCTCCAGGTGCTCCTAGACCTAGGCCTAACAATATCTGTTCGGGTACAACAACCACATACACCGAAAAAAATTGACCATTTTAATACAAAATTATAATAAAGTTTTACAAAATTTGTTTTGTTTACAAAAGTTCTATTACGCATAGATTGTGACGTCATGTGCAGATTGCTAATTTGTCCCCCAGATGCATCGTCACAGGCGCGGCACGTCATGTGCAATGGGTCTATAGAACTTTAATCAATTTTTTTATACAATCGGCCCCTGACACTGTCACAGCATTATAATTATTCACGGCAGCGAGTGAGTAGAACCACTGTCAATATTCTCATGGTTTATTTTTCTAATGTAAGTATAAGAGAATCCGTTACTCATTACTCACAATATACAAACACCCATTCGAACCCAACTATAAAATATTATACCAATTCTTAATTTGTTTGCAATTAAGTAATATTATAAAACACATTTATATGTATCAATTACATAGTTCGAGCCGTAGTAAACAAAGGGGAAATCCCGCTTACGGGGGGTTGGTCCATTACAATAGCATACCTAACTTATGCGAGGCCTACAGAGTAAACTAAAAGCGCTAAAGACAAGCTGATTCTTTTAAATAATGTGTAATTTATCAGGGAAGAATGAAAAATAATATTTAAAGGATATGATAATTTTTGGCTGAGATAGAGCGTTTTCAGTATGCTGGCTTGTCGACTGCCCTGCGGTAAGTGTCAATATGTAGCGGTTCGACGACTCGTCTTGTGCAAGCTGTTCAGTCAAAGTTTAAATCGGTATAAGCTTAAAAATAATTTCATATGATGCGAATATTATGGGTAAAGAATGAAAAAAAATATTATGACGATAAAGAAACTTGTGGCAGAGAACGAGCGTTTTGAATCGCTAAGCGGCACGCGTGTTTGCAGTCTCCATCAATATGTCGCGGAGCGATTACATAACTTATGCGAGGCCTCCAGAGAAAACTAAAAGCGTTAAAGACAAGCTGATTTTTTTAGATAATGTGTAATTTATCAGGGAAGAATGAAAAATAATATTTAAAGGATATATTAATTTTTGACTGAGATAGAGCGTTTTTAGTATGCTGGCTTGTCGACTGACTGCGTTAAGTGTCAATATGTGGCTGTTCGACGACTCGTCTTGTGCAAGCTGTTCAGTCAAAGTTTAAATCGGTATAAGCTTAAATATTATCTCATATGATTCGAATATTATGGGTAAAGAATGAAAAAAAATATCATGACGATAAAGTAACTTGTGGGGGAGAACGAGCGTTTTAAATCGCCAAGCGGCATGCGTGTTTGCAGTCTCCATCAATATGTCGCTGTTCTATAACAAACGTACTTGCAGGTAGGTGAGTCCGGGATTGGACGCACCGAGGGTGGCTGGAAGTTTCCCGAACTTACCGAGCGAAGCGAGGTGAGTTCGGGAAACTTCCAGCCACCCGAGGTGCGTCCAATCCCGGACTCACCGAACCGGCAAGTACGTTTGGTTTTTATCCCATACACCGAGCCATACACACATTTGTAGCTCTTCGCGATATATTCGTCGATGTTTTGTGAACATTTTCCCGGCCAAAAAATCACTGGGCAAGAAAATACTTCTTTATCTACGTCTACATTACCTTTACTGCATTTTTCTTTGGTTTTTCTTCAGTCTCAGTATGTTAGTCACCGAAAAAAGTTCTTTAAATTTAGGTTTATCGGCTAAATCTTGTCCGCCATATTTGTTATTGTTATTGCAACGTAAGCAGTTTAGCGGGTGAGTTCGGGCGAAAAGCAGGTGAGTTCGAAAAAAGCAGGTGAGCTCGACGACAAGCTCACCTGCTCCAAACCAATCAGAAAGCCGCTTTTAACACAGGTATGGGATAAGGTGACATAACTTATGCGAGGCCTCCAGAGAAAACTAATAGCGCTACAGACAAGCCGAATGCTTTACGCGATGTGGAAATTATCAGTGAAGAATGAAAAAACTTATTCTAGCGTTACATTCATTCCTTACGACGATACAGCGATTTAGATAGGAACTAACCGTCTCTTGCTCAAGATTTAATTGACCCGACACGGTTTGGCGACTTGGCTTATGCAAGCTGTTTAGAGCAATCTAGAAGCGGTAGCGACTCGGTGATTGCGTTATATGATAGTCCTTTTCTTGACGAAGAATGAAAAAAATTATTGTTAGGATGGGTGAAGGCTTTGTGGAGTTAGAGCCATTCGAACACGAACGCCATGCCTCTGGCTCCAGATTCAATCTGAAACTGGAGCTGCGAATCTGAAACTGGAGCTGCGAATCTGAAACTGGAGCTGACTGGCTTCTCGTGTTTACACTATCAAAGTTTCTGTGATCACAGTAGGAATTTTGCTTAGGTAAACACCGAGTCTCAGTCATTTCCCTCAGACATTTCTTACAAATCATTCAAAATTTAGTATTTACCTTTGCAAAATTCCTACTGTGATCACAGAAACTCTGATAGTGTAAACCAGCCTATAGTTAGTGAATTTCACAACCGCAAACAAGATAGAATGGTGCTTTGTCTTGTGTTTACACAACAAAGGCATGATGCATCTTGGCTGATGATCCGTGTCTAAGGTGTAAATGAAATCAAGAGCTATTAAAAAAATTAGTTACCAAGTATTCGTTATTTATTTTAACCCATGCAAATATACTGTACTAGCTGTTCATTCTTAAGTTTTTATTGATCCACTTATAGGATGTGGACTATCTACACGAAGCTGAAACGTACTTGACTAAACACCATGGCCTTTGCAATGTGGGCCAGTGGCACTCCCATCATAAAATAAACCTCTTCAAACCAAGTGTGGGAGATGAGAATACTGTATGGAGCAATATGTCCAACTTGGAATTGGATAGATATATTGTCTTCATTGCAAATATACCTGACGAAGTGACAATGAACTGCTTTTTGTTTCAAATCAAAGAGGGTCAACTTCCTGTTAAATATGGGGAATTTAAAGTTCTACATGGGAACAGTCCTTTGCGTCTAAATGAAAAAGTTTTGCAAAATGTTCATAGCGGGGCAGAGAGCTTCAATCAGATAACCAGGTTTGAAAAGAAAATGAAGTATATACGAAACAAGGACGCGACAGAAAATCTCGATATTTCCAATAAAAATGAAAACGAAACCAGCAGTTACACAGTAGGAAATAGAGTGCAGCACGTTACAAGTGTTTCCGTTGAGCGAGAAAAGACTAAGAACCGTTATACTCAAGAACATACGACCGGCATAACAAAAAAACTGGATAAAGATAATCACACTCCTACACCTGACAGACCATCACCTAGGCATCCAGGGTTTACTGGATATGGCAGCCAGGATATCAAGCAGAAAATAAATACCACTGCTAGCAATGGCTGTACGATACAGACAAACCAACGTGATCCCGAACAGAACAATCAAAGCAACAGAGGTCGAGTAACTGAACAATCAACAAGCGCAACCAGGAATGGACTTAAGCTTAGTAGTACACCTCACAGTTCGTGGCAACCACAAGACAACAAAACAACAACACCCACCACAAGTGACCGAGGTGAAAAGAATGAGAACTTTCAAACAATACTGAAAAATACACAGAAACAACAGGAGCACCAAGGGACAACGCCCAAAACCAATAAACAAGCTTCGGAACGGAATAGCAACTTTCCAACAGCTTCGCAAGGAATGCAGAAACAATGGACGGACAAAGAGAAAACACCCACAACAAGTGATCGAGATGCAAAGTATTACAACTATCCAACAACTCCAGAAGATAGGAAAGGACAACGAGAACATCAATGTTCAAGAAGTTACGAGTACCAAACAACTCCAAAAGATAAACAAAAACAACGGCACCTCAAAGAGACAACACCCAAAAGCTCAGAAAGTGGCAAACTTGCAAGTACATCGCAAAAACAGCGGGAGCAACACATTGATGGAGTTGGAAAGAAAGATCGTTATCCAAACACAAGACGAACAACAGAAGGTGCCCAACATCTACAATCGCCCAGTGTTAAGTACAAGGGTAGCGATGGTCGAGCCATGAATGTAATTGTTAACCAACCGTTGGGTTTCGGTGGTTCAGGCAGTCTTAAGAGAAAAAGTGGAGACTATGACAATGTAAAAGGCCACATTGAATTACCTCAACGCAAGAGCAGCAGACTAAACTCAGACTACATTCCGCCATCTCATGATACGCCCGAAGTAATACACGAGAGGTCAAGCATCCCATCAGGAACATTCAAACCGCCTGAAGTGCGTCACAAAATCAAACAAACAGGAGAAATTAGTGACATTGAAACAACTAGAAGTAGCTGGACAAGATGGTATAACAGCGTATGTTGTAGGATGTCTAAACTAACTAGAAATGAACCAGAGGTAGAAGAAATCGGACTAAACAAAGTAGAGGACAATGATGGTACCAAGGTTTATGTGTAAAATGTATAACATCATTAACATGTTAACGTTCAAAGTGCATAAGATTCCATTAATATAAAAGAAGGCCGAAAATACAAGATAGATAGATGACCAAGACGAAATTAAGTATAATTTATATGTATAATATATGTATAATTTTTTCATTTCAAAGTGACGGATCATCATCTTTTATAATTCAATGATTTCCGAAGCAACCATTATTTTACCATTTTAATAAAGAGTTACCTGAACAGTGGCTACTTCAATTAACCCTACATTATTAACATGTGTGAGGACAATTTGTTTAAAAATGATCTACTACATACAGTTCATTTCATCATCTGGCAATTTGTACATAAAAAATCTGATGCATTTCTTAATATAAGGAACAGTAATCTATAATGGTTACAAAAGACCACAAAATAGTCTTTAAATCATTGAAGATTTAAAGATGTATTAATAGTTTAACTATGTTAATATAAAGATTTTAACAACGTATCTGGGTAGTGCTATTGTATTGAAACATCTAGCATAAACTGAGTGCAAATAATTTGGTATAACGACATATATACAATAAGAGCTTTTTCAGTACAAAGAAAACATATACCAACTTTCTTTCTGGGCACAGTTTACATTATTAAATCAGTATCCTTTCGTACCCCAATAACGTCAAAATTAACTATTGGAATGATATACAGTAAGTATATCGTAATATTGGGTCAATTTCCATAATAACAATATCAATTTAAATACAATTCTAATCTCAACGCTAATTAATACCAATCCTATAATGTATTCAGGATAATATAATATGGTAGTCCCCAAAATTCATTGTTAGCCTTACATTAGATAATGTTTTGGATTAATGAAGTAGGAAATATAATTCAGAATTGTTTCTTCCTTTTAATATATATATATATATAAACATAATTGTTGTACTGTCAAAATATTTCATCAATAGCAAATCTATTATAAATTCATATCACAAAGCGTGTGTTTCTACTGATTAATCTGCATATCTCCTAGAAAGTCATCTAGAGGTTGGGATGTCCTAAGATGTGCCTCATAAGCTTCCAACCACAACCGTCCTTTCATAAAAACTTGATATAATGTATTATCACTGCTCCAACGAGATGCACGATAATGACAAATCCTTAGGAAACCATCACGACGTGTTAATGTGTGTGTTTGACCATTATTTTCCCAGTTTGGCATTGGCTGTGGGGATTGCTTTACTACCATATCGGGAACGCTGTTTGGGAAATCCTCTGGCAAGTAAACTCGAAGACAATATTCGTTATCATTGTTTGTTGTCATTCTGATTTCAACTTTCGTTTGTCCATGAAGCCATGTCACTCTATCAGGGAAGTAAACGCTCAGAATATCACGTTCAACCAAGATTCGTTGACGTTGGGCAGGACTCCAAGCCATTTTACATTGTGATTTAAAGGAAAGAAGACTTTACATGTTACATGTTGCGTTGAAATTTTATTCAGATCGGCTCGCAAAGCTTTAAACGGAAGTGAAATATCTGGTAGTGCAAAATAATTTCGTTTGAATTGCAAAGTGAAAGTAAACAGCAGGGGGTATGCGTGGGTTAATAAATGAACCAATGGGATGGATTTTCCAACAGAATCTCGTTGCTATGGTCGTTGCTAAGGACCGAAAATAGAAACAATGATATACTTTTCAATATTTTCCCGTTTTCTTCACGCAAATAAAAAAAATAACGCCGGGAAATGAAAAAGCAACGATCAATAATGTATAATGTGGTTGTTTCGAAAATTTGACTTTTTCACAAAAATATTGTCCCAGACCACCTTAAACAAACTTGAATATATTAATAGCGAAGCTGCGAAGAACGTGTGCCCCGATTAATACAAAAACATGGCACTTAGTGGAAAACAATGGCGAATCTACACTATGTTTATCAGATTAAGGGTGATTTTCTCACTGCACAATTATCCCCCACGATCCCTTGTTACCCCATCATTTCTCTATAACGTGTGTTGTGTAATTCAGCCCTTGGCAAAAAGACGCATAGGCGTAGGAGCCAGGTCATGAAATTGGGGATATACAGATCATGCGTCTTGACGGATGATCTGTCTACAAGAAAAATCAGGCCAATGTTATGAATAATGATCGTGACAGTTTGCTACAAATCTACAACATGTATCACTCACAAAAAGCCAGAAGCGCGCACGCACATGACACTGGATTATGGAGATAATTGTCTTATTGAATTTTACTCACATGACACGATTATTGAGATAATTGTCTTATTGAATTTACTCACATGACATGATTATTGCATGAGATAATTGTCTTATTGAATTTTACTGAAACGCACATGTATTCTCTGAAACTGGCACGTCTGGCAGATCTACATCGTCTAAATAAAAATCCATAGGTCGGCCTGTTTTAAGTGAAGTTTCATAAGCTTCCAACCACTGGCGACCTTTTTTGAAAACATCCACAATCCGGTTATCTCTTGGGGACCAGTGACGGTAATAATTATGGCATATATTAATAAGATCTCCTCGCCTTTCTAAAGTATGATTCTCGTGACTCTCATCCCACTCTGGCATTGGTCGAGGCGATCCGCAGACAACCAACTCCGGTACTGAGTTTGGAAAATCTTCAGGAACGTGTAGACGCAAACGGTAGACATTGTTACGGTTGGTTGTAACCTCTAGTTCAATTTTCGTGTCGCCGCTTGGATCAATCCATTTGATATCATTTTGAGGAAATTCCTCAGCCAATTTTCTACGTTCGAGGACAAGACGGAGTTTTTGAAATCTACTCCAAGGCATATCTTTGGTTCTCGGCGAAGTTGAAGCCGTTTGTATTCTGTCTGTTAATTGTACTTGGTTTGTTGATCCACAATTGCATCTGTATTTTGTGTATTCAATCTATTAATGAATTAAAATGCAGTAGCTGACAATCCAATACGAAAAAATTGACATACCTATAATATATGATGAAGTACTTATAAATAGAATAACTGAATCGGTAATGATAGGACAATGCGCTTTTCGTTTCGACTGTTGTTGAATCGTATAGCATTGTGACATACATCAATGAATTATTGTGTCCAACATTCACCAAAGAAATGCTTGCAATAAAATTCCTCCAAGGCTGATTTTAAACTTAAAATACTGGTCGTTTCAACAGTTTCATACACATACCTGTAATATTCAACATTCAAAGTAGGTCACATTGATAATACCAAACACAACCCGTTTTCATCCGTTGAAATGGGATTCCCGAATGGGGCAATAAAATCTACTTTCACTCTGTAATAACCTTATTGCATCATAAGTAAAAGCATAATTTCTTCTCAGAATTCGGGATGCAAATTCGGAGTAAAACATTTACCAAGAAATGTTCTTAATTTCTTGGAAGCCAGGGGATCCAATTACGTGATATGGAACATTTAGATTGTTCGGGATTAAAAAAACATGGACTGTGACGTGGGCGGGAAATTCCCATAGAGACTAGTAAACCTGCTTAGACTTGTTCTGTAAATATCAGTCTTATTTTGGCGCCAATAAACTACGCAGTTATTATAGGGAGAAGTATACAGGATATCTTACTGTATCAAAGGAAACGAAGTTCAGTCTGTTAGTCGTATCTTGGTACTGTATGTACGAGAACACATGACTATTGTAAAGGGGAACTGATTAATATCAAGAGGAATAAATATGGCGGAATGTAAGGAAATCGAAGTCTACATGCCACCAGATTTAAAAGAACGTTTAGAAGACGAAAAAGATACGCTTGAAGGATATTTTAACCGGCCAGGGCAATACCCAATCTTGAATAAAAACAATGAGCCATGTTTTGAGCACGAAGTGAGATTAAATGGAGACAGAATTTATAAGCTTCGTGTTTATGTGAATAACGAGTATCCTGATGAGTTACCAGACCTGGTCGTGTGTGAATCACCGGAGCCGATGCCTAAGTGGGGTGAGCAGGGTGGAAGCCATCCTACTCATACTTGGCCACCTAAATATGGATTTCTACATATCTGTCACTGGCATTGGGCAGCTTGGACAAGAGATAACATGATTTATCAGGTAGGTTTAATGAAAGAATAATTAAGTTAATTGAATTTAAGTCGCCGAAGCAAAAGTCTCAGAGATTGCTGTATCTATCGCGTTGCCCAAAAAGATGTTAAGTCCATGAAGTTTACGAAAATTCAATTTTAGTTCAAAATTTCAAAATCAACAGTACTCAGTAATATCTTCTCACTAGTTACTTAAAAATCTTGACACCGGAATGTCTGTCGGAAAACAACGAGGACCCACTTCTGCCCACTTTGTGTTAATGTGCGAGATATGAGAGTACTTGTGGAGTCAATGGAGTGTTGAAATTTATTTCTGAATGTTCCAACTGGGGACTGAACCAAGTCCAAGGTACAAGCGCTCTGATCAATGAGTTATTGAAATGTCCGTTTCAGAGACACTCACATGTATACATTAAACGAGGGATATCCAATCCACATATATGGTGACTTCGTACAGATGTTATTGTTATGTATAGACGATGAAAACTGATCCAGTTATGAATTATATACTGGACTCAGACAGTGTATGTATAGAAATAGGAACTACCGGAGTCCAAATGGAATCGAATTTCGTGCTAAAATTGAATTTCTGAATCCCCCAACAACAACGATTATATATTTTTCATATATTTTTATAGGTATTCAACAAAGGAGAAGAGTGGCTTGAAGCCTACGAGAAATATTTGGTAACAAAGGAACTGCCACTGGACTTAGAGCAGATGGAGCTTACTGAAGAAGAAAAAGTGAAAGTAAAAATAGTAGAGCAACGACAGTTTGTACAATTCCAACAACACGCGGCTCTTGCAATGTGTCAGTTACATCCTAACTTCCTGAACGAACTACATCGCTGGCACATGCATGCAATAATTGGGGAGATTTTATCACAACGTAATTTGCCTATACAAGTTCCAATAAGGATCGATGAAGTAAGAAATACGCAAAGGCGACTTCTAGAATCTGCTATAGAAAGAGTAAGTGGAGATCCTAACGGGATTATGTTAGCTGAGTTGTTTAGGTTGCAATGTGCAATCACTGAATGCAGTTTGGCCAACCCTGGGCGTGATATTAATTTTTCTTGCACACAGACTGATGATGGACGATTTCACGTCAGCTTAACTCCTACAGGACCTCCTAGCTTACAAAACAGCTAAAGTATATTGTGTTTATACCACTACCATATATAGTCATAGAAGCCACGAAGCCGGAGTTTTGGTCAAATTTTTACAGTAAGTCATAGGAGATAATGATATATTAATCTATGTATACCAAACTTTTAAAAAAATACTTTATATATTATAACAAATATTGGCAAGGTTCTACAGAATTATTATTAATTATATTAATTTAATATGGTGCATATATTATATTAATTGTGATGATAATTAAGTATTAAACGGATGTTATAAATTGGAAATGTACAAACGTTTCCTGAGTTATAATAATAAATAAATATACGTAAAATACAATTATAAATTTCTGAAAATCTTAATGTTTAATACAACACATTCAGATATAGCTTGTCTGGTAATTCGTGAGTAAAACACGTACAGCAAACAGCCGGGTCATTTGACAACGTGCATATATATAGTTCATCCCTCTATGTATATAAATGCGTCATTTACAGACTATCCTCAAAATCAGACATGATTTGTTCTCAAAACCATTACTATAGCATAGATCCCACAATTTTAGGTAGTTCGTCTCGATAGTTCGTATTCTAGCTGTTGGCCATTATACGCCAAGTATACTCTGATCAAATTCTGTCATACGAAATTCATATTCTGCCCTACGACGTTCCTCTTCCTGAAGTTCTTCTTTCGTTGGCTCCATCGGAGGCAACAATTTGTTCATGGGTTTACCAGTCGCAAGATGCTCTTCGTACGCTTCTAGCCATTGCTCGCCTTTCTCAAAAACCTGATACAGTTTATTTTCCCGCGACCAACACAATGGGTGATAAAAGCAAATCTGTAAAAGTCCATGTTTTTGTGGCCAAGTATGAGTCGTATGTGTTCCTTGCCATTCTGAAGATTTGGGCATCGGTTTTGGCGAAGCGCATACAACTAAATCGGGGAGTTGTTCGGGATAATTTTCCCCTACCAAAATTCTTAATCTGTAGACATTATTCCAGCTCGTCTTTATGTTTCGTTCGAATAAAGCCATGCCGTATCTCCAATTCCACGGGAATTTTTCCCCGTTGTAGTACTTTTCAAGCCAGTTTCGCTCATGTTTTAATCGTGCCCGTAAGAATTTATTATCCATCATTATTCTTTAACATAAGTTAACAACACGACGTTCGTACTTCGCTGTAGATAATATGTTTATCTTTTGAAAAGTGTCGACATTGCGTTTTGCATACTTAATAAGTAGGGGAATTCCCATATGTTATGGACCACGCAATGACGATGCAAACAAGGTATGGAATATAATAAGGTAGCCCGCATGGCAGGCGGTCCCTAAAATCGGGCAAGCCTGGGTATTTTAGACCGCCTGTCATGCAGGCTAATATTAAGGAGGCTTGTTTGTCTTTACTGGATAAAAAATCCCAAGTTAAGTAGTGAGCAAAATGCTAGCAATTTGTAATAGATGGATCAAAGCCAGGTAACAACCCTACGAATAGGGATGCACAAACGAAATACTTTCGAAATCGATCGTCGCCTCTAGCATTGCTCGGACAAGTAATTTGAAATCAGCACAAGACCATGGGAAGTTCCTCCCTTATTGCATCTATAAGTAAAATCATAATTTCTTCATATGGAGTATTTTGATAACACACTCTTCCGGAAAGTACGTCACTCTGGCCATAGAGCCTCGATTCAATTTTTCATGTATCTGACATCAGTTAAAGTCCGCGTCTCAATCACGAAAGCGAGGCTCTATAGCCAAGATGACGTACTTTCCGGTATTAAAAAAACATGGACTGTGACGTGACGGGAAAATCCCACAGAGACTAGTAAACCTGCTTAGACTTGAAACTGTAAATATCAGTCTTATTTTGGCGCTAATAAGATACGCAGTTATTATAGGGAGAAGTATACAGGATATCTTACTGTATCAAAGGAAACGAGGTTCTGTCTGTTAGTCGTATCTTGGCACTGTCTGTATGTATGAGAATACACGACTATTATAAAAGGGAACTGATTGATATCAAGAGGAATAAATATGGCGGAATGCAAGGAAATCGAAGTCTACATGCCACCAGATTTAAATAAACGTTTGGAAGAAGAACAAGATACGCTTGAAAGATATTTTAACCGGCCAGGACAATACCCAATCTTGAATAAAAACAATGAGCCATGTTTTGAGCACGAAGTGAGATTAAATGGAGACAGAATTTATAAGCTTCGTGTTTATGTGAATAGCCAGTATCCTCATTGTTTACCAGACCTGGTCGTGTGTGAATCACCGGAGCCGATGCCTAATTGGGGTGTAAATCATGATACTCATACTTGGCCACCTAAATACGGATTTCTACATATCTGTCACTGGCATTTGGTTGCTTGGACACGAGAGAACATGATTTACCAGGTAGCATAAACAGCATAGTTTTACATATTAAGTTAAAATTAAAGATATTGACACCGGAATGTCTGTCGGGAAACAATAAGGAAGACTTCATGTTTTTATATGAGATATGTGAGTACTTGTGGTCGTTGTGGAGTCAATGGAGTGTTCAAATGTATTTCTGAATGTTCCAACAGCGACTTGAACAAAGGTATAAGCGTTCTGATGAATGTGTTACTGAGATGCCCAATTCAGAGACACTCTCACATGCGTATATTCAACGAGGGATATCCCCAATCCATATATGATGAGCATAAGACGATAAAAACTGATCCAGCCATGAATGATATACTGGGTTCAGCAGTGCATGTATAGGAATAGTACAACTACCGGTGTTCACATGGAAACAAATTTCTTGCTAAAAAATGTCTGAGCTTCAAAAAACAATGATTATATAGTATTTTTCATATTTTTTTTATAGGTTTTCAACAAAGGAGAAGAGTGGCTTGAAGCCTACGAGAAATATCTGGTAACAAAGGAACTGTCACTGGATTTAAAACCGATGAAACTCACTGAAGAAGAACAAGTAATAGCACAAAGATTAGACCAACAACAACAATTCGTACAATTACAAAAATGCGCAGCTTTCGCTATGTCTCAGTTAGACCCTAACTTTCTGATGATGCTACATCGCTGGCTCATGTCGGAAATAACTGGAGATAATTTGCAAATATTCCCCATATCGTCGCCTATAACTGATGAAAGAATAAGAAATACGCACAGACGATTGCTACGTGCCGAATCTGCTACACAAAGAGTAAATGAAGATGAAATTATGTTAGCTGAGTGGTCGAAGTTGCGATGTGCAATCGTTGAATACTGATAAAGCAGTTTGGCCAACCTGGTTGCTTGTACTCTTAAAGTTTCTTTCACACAGACAACACAGACTGATGATGGAAAGCCTCAACGTGCAGTCGATACAATCTAGCTAACAAAATAACCGAAATAGTTTTCTCTAGCTTTTATAATGTATAATTTAATACTTTTACTACAAAATAAGGTTTACGAGTTGAACTCCTTCGTTATATGTGGGTATTGCACAAATGATGATTAAATTAATTTAACTTGGTGCATAAATTTTAACATTTGCTGTTGTATCTATAAATAAAAACGGTGTAAAATATAAAATTATATATAATAAATTAATCTGTACAATTACAATTAAAATATTAAATTACTGAAAGTGTAAATATTTGACAGTGCAAGTCGGACTGACAATTAGTCTGTGCATGTATCTATGCATGTGCTGCGGTTCTGCGCGAATAGTTCAGTCGTCTTGATGGATGATCCGTCTATGAGAATGAGTACTATATGAATATGCGTTATCAGCCATCAGGGAAATTGTAGGCGTGAAATGTTCCCATGATCATTGGTAATATATATCTTACTCTAGCTTAGTGTTATATTTAAACTACGATGGATTATCCATCACTCATCAGTGTGGTTCATTTCAGGCCTAATCTTCTGTCTTTCTGATTAATTTTAGCCATACGACGTTCATATTTTGCCTGATGACGTTCTTCTTCCTGAAGTTCTTCTTCCGTTGGCTCCATCGCCGACAAAAGTTCGTTCATAGGTTTACCAGTCGCAAGATGCTCTTCGTACGCTTCTAGCCATTGCTCGCCTTTCTCAAAAACCTCATACAGCATATTTTCCCGCGTCCAACACAATGGGTGATAAAAGCAAATCTGTAAAAGTCCATGTTTTTGTGACCAAGTATGAGTCGTATGTGTTCCTTGCCATTCTGAAGATTTGGGCATCGGTTTTGGCGAAGCACATACAACTAAATCGGGCAGTTGTTCGGGATAATTTTCCCCTACCAAAATTCGTAATCTGTAGACATTATTCCAGCTCGTCTTTATGTTTCGTTCGAATAAAGCCATGCCGTATCTCCAATTCCACGCGAATTTTTCCCCATTGTAGTAATTTTCAAGCCAGTTTCGCTCATGTTTTAATCGTGCCCGTAAGAATTTATTATCCGCCATTATTCTTTAACATAAGTTAACAACACGAGTACACGACGTTCATACTTCGCTGTAGATATAATATGTTTATCTTTTGAAAAAGTGTCGACATTGCGTTTTGCATACGTAAAACGTAGGGGGGAATTCCCATATGTTATGGCCCACGCAATGATGGCGCAACGAAGGTATGGAATATATTAAGGAGGCTTGTGTGCCTTTACTGAATAAAAAATCCGAAGTTAAGTAGTGAGTAAAATGCTAGCAATTTGTAATAGATGGATCAAAGCAGGTAACAACCTTCGGGACGAATAGGGTGCCTGTTTGCCGCATTTATGTACACAAACGAAATACTTTCGAAATCGATCGTCGCCTCTAGCATTGCTCGGACAATTAATTTCCGTTCGCCCACCTTTTTCTTCGAAAACACCGCCGCAACAGATTTCAGCACAAAACCATGGGAAGTTCCTCCCGAATGTCAAAATTTTCACAAATTATATAAAATATAGCTGGAAACTAATAAACCTGCTCAGACTTGAACAAGACTAACACACATATCTTAATTAAAAGCCTTTTGGTTTCTTTTTGGGCTACCTTGCTACTTATTATTATTCCTAATTTTGAAATACTTTTATATGTGTGTAACGTAGTGAATAAATTGATTTGATTTGATATGTCAGTCATATTTTGGCGCTTAATACATGATATCTTACTGTATCAAAGGAAACGAATTTCGGTCTGTTAGTCGTATCTTGCCACTGTGTATATGAAAACACACGACTATTGTAATGGGGAACTACTGGTCAACAAAAGGAATAAATATGGCGGAATGTAAGGACACCGACGTCTACATACCACTAGATTTAAAAGAACATTTGAAAAAAGAACAAGATATGCTTGAAAGATATTTTAACCGGCCAGGGCAATACCCAATCTTGAATAAAAACAATGAGCCATGTTTTGAGCACGAAGTGAGATTAAATGGAGACAGAATTTATAAGCTTCGTGTTTATGTGAATAGCGAGTATCCGGATAAGTTACCAGACCTGGTGGTGTGTGAATCACCGGAGCCGATGCCTAAGTGGGGTGAGCAGGGTCCAAGCCATGCTACTCATACATGGCAACCTAAATATGGATTTCTACATATCTGTCACTGGCATTGGGCTGCTTGGACAAGAGATAACATGATTTATCAGGTAGGTCTATGGACAGAAGAAGCTAGGGGTGCACCGGCCGGAACCCCGATTTTTTAGAGTTCCGGTTCCGGCCGGAACTAGTAAAAAAAGCATGGCCGGAACCGGAACTCTGTTGTTTTCAGAGAGATAGAATATCAAACGTTTTTGTGTCTAACAAAAGGTCACAGTAGGAAGAAATTTGGACTACGCAAGGGAAATGTACACTACTAACACTTCATTATGACGTTTAACGCTTGTCAATCTTTTTATTCTAACATTTGCGAGCTCTCTCCTTTATGACTTGAAGTGTCTGCCTGTCTGGCAGCGGACAAAGTAACATATGACTATATATGGCTTAATAAATTAGTTCCGGTTCCGGCCGGAACTTCCGGCCGGAACTTTTTTCCAGTTCCGGTGGGATCCGGTTCCGGCCGGAACTTAAAAAACTGGTTCCGGTGCACCCCTAGAAGAAGCCATATAAATGTAGCAAATATATACTTATACAGATACACAAATATTCTACATGTGTGGCAAAGGAATGGAACTAGTCAATGAGTCAAGTTTTTGGTTCGTTAAACCCACACTGAAAATGAAACTTTGAAAAGAAATACATGATACTCGATTTGGTGTCCATGTATTTGGGTGACACAAGTCCAAGTTAAGTTGAATATTTTTAGTTAATAGAGGACATGAAAGACCAATAATCTGCTTTCTTCCTCTATAATACCACGGGATCTGGAGGCACTTTTTATATGCTTTACGTAATGCAATCATCGAAGTCTGATCACAGACCCAGAGGTGAAAGGCATGTATGCACTTGTCTGTACGGGTAATTCTCATATCCTTTTCTATAGGTTTTCACCAAAGGAGAAGAGTGGCTAGAAGCATACGAGAAGTATTTAGCAACTAAGAAACTGCCACTTAAGTTAGAACAAATGCAACTTACTGAAGAGGAACAAAGAAACGCTTATATATAGTCTCATGGACATATGATCAATCGCTCTAGTGCAAGAGGAAATTTTTGGAATCCACTCCAAGGCATTTTTAGTACTCAGCGGAGTTGAAGGGGTTTGTAATCTATCTGTTTAGTTAGGTGGTTTTTGGTTCACAAATAATGTAACTGTATTTCGTGTTATCAATATATCAATGGATCAAATTTTATTACATAGAAGCAGTGACAATATAATATAATATACACTATACCAAGGAAACGTGTTAAGAACACAATTACGAAGAAAAATAAACTGCATAATTAATACATGATGAAGTGTTTATGAATAGAATTCAACAGCAGGTGACACCTATTAATTACAAACCACAACTCGTGTTCGATGTTCAAATGGGAATCCCCGAATGGTGCAATAGAATCAAATTTCAGTTTCACTCTGCAACTGCATATTTAATCATAATAAACAGCTCCACAGAATTCGGATAGAATTCTGAGTATAGCACTTACTAAGAAACGTTCTTACTTTCTTGAAATCCTGGAGATCCCCTTACGTCATAAGAACATTTAGAATTTTCGGTCCCGCAAAGCATGCACGGGAAAATCCCTTCGAAGGCCGGTAAGCCTGCTTGGACTTGAACAAGACTATAGACAATTAGTGAACCTATTTTGGCGCTTTGTGGGAAGAAGTACTGTATCAAAGGAAACAAGATCGAAGCCCAGTCGATTAGTATTGTTTTGCTACTGATGTGTGAAAATACACGTCTATTGTACAAAGAGAACTAATAAGTATATTTCAATATCAAAACAAATATGGCGGAATGTAAGGAGATCGAAGTCTACAAACCACCAGATTTGAACACACGTTTGAAAGAGGAAAAAGATATGCTGGAAAGATATTTTTGGCCAGAGAAATACCCAATCTTGCATAAAAACAATGAGCCGTGTCTTGAGCACGAAGTGAAATTAAAAGAAGACAGGAATTATAAGCTTCGTGTTTATGTGAATAGCAAGTATCCTGATGAGTTGCCAGACTTGGTGGTGTGTGAATCACCAGAGCCGATGCCTGACGGCCTTGATTGGAGTGGAAGCCATGATACTCATACATTGCCGCCTAAATGTGGGTTTCTACGAATCTGTCACTGGCATTGGGCTGCTTGGACAAGAGAGAACATGATTTATCAGGTAGGTTTAATGACAGAAGAAACTGCATAGGCATATAGTTTCACATACTAAATTAATTGAATTCAAGTCGCTATGGCAAATGTCTCGGAGATCGCTGTATATATCGCTGATGTTAAAGTGCCTATATCATGGTTTTGGAGTTTGCATATCTCGAAAGTTTAGGGTTTTTTAAGACACTTTGCAATATATTTTGTTATTGAAAAATTTCATCTTGATGGATTTATTAGCTCTTAAAGTTACCGGACATGACGTCAAAAGGAGAATTGCAAATCAGTTTTCCTTTGTATCATTGCAACAAAATTCTCCTTTTGACGTCATGTCCGGTAACTTTAAGAGCTAATAAATCCATCA